GGAGAACCCAAATGTTTCCAAAGATCAGATGTGCAGACTGAAGTTGAGGGAAATGTGTGTAAAATAACAATTTTATTTGATTGAACAAACAGACATGTCTCGGATTTGAATATTTCACTGAGTGTAAACTTCTGCTGAAACAAGCAAAAACCGCAAGTGTATAGGGTCCAACAGACACCTGCAGTCAACGAAAGAAAAAAATATTTTCCTTGACTGCCGTATAATTAAATACATTTTGTGGATAAATGTATGTAAGCATGTGTGCATGAAGTGCGAGTGTGATTGCACCGATGCCATAGTGCTGCTGAGGCTTGTGCCGGCTGCGTTGGACTCGGGGCATGTTGACATGGCCTCTAATCAGGTTAAGTTATTAAGACCTCCAATGGGAAGGGAAATAGGTCAGAAGCAGCTAAACGCAGAGAGACAGAGACAGAGAGAGAGAGAGAGAGAGAGAGTGTGTGTTTGAGTGAGGGAAAACGTGAGGGGAAGCAGCAGACGGACGCAGCTCGACAGATAGAGCATCAGTTTGCTTCAGTGTGTCCGGAGCAGCACATGGTGTTAAACATCCAGCGCTGCTCTGTATTATGTAAGGTTTACTCATCAACAACCTGGATTTCTGTATTTGTGGACGCAGTAATGCAGTCTGGACTTGAATTTGTCTGCTCTTCTGCCTTTTTTACTTGAGTATCGGTTCTTGGTTGTCTTCAAGCTAAAGCTGGATGTAAAGTTTTCTTCGTGGGAGAATCATCCCGAAGCGTCTTCTTTCCCACGTGGGACACCGCAACTTATTTATGAATTCACTCTTGCGTCAGAGAGGAAGCTTGCAGCGTGTTTTTGCTCGTGGACAAATGGGCCATGAAAACTAACAAACAAGCAGAAGAAAGAGGAAGTGCTGCTTTTGTGGATGATCATTCATTCAGCTTCTGTTTCTCTCTTTCTCTGACGGGCAGTGCAGCGTGAACACACGAGCCCTCGAGATACGGACATCCGTTAATATACGCACATCCCTCTCTCCTTCTCCTCCCTCTTCGTATTGCTCTTTTGTCACTACATCTTTCTCTCAAGGCTGCTGCTGCTGCGTTTGCTGGTGGGACAGGCTGTGTCCAGAGTGAGAGGAAGAGGATTTCCTTCGAGGGCACGATTCAAGACTTCAATGCAAAAACACTCATTTTTGGACCAGAGTCCAGAAAAGTAGAAAGAGAAAAGGGAAATTTAGCAGACCAAAAAAGGAGAAAAGAGCAAGAGTGGGCTAATTACAAAAGTTTTTATATTTAAGAATTTAAATTCATTTCATGTTTCATCACTTGCTGGTGGGGTAAAATATCAAGACTTTTATTTGAGCTGCACTCAGGATACAATTTGCTTGATGTATGCCGACAGCTGTTCCTGCTCCTGCCATCAAACCATCTGACAGATCGGCCGTGGTTAGACGTCGCCCTGTTGTTGCCACTAACGCACAAATCCTTTACATCTGCTGTGTGAGGCTTCAGTCTGCACCTTCCACACACTCATCTTTCCATCCTTGCTGTTCTAGCTACCTTAAAATCTGGTTTAGGATCTTTTTGGGTTGCTACCTGTGGTCCTAGCTAGCCCTTACACCCCCAGGATCTGTGTGTAGGTGTTTAAGCAGACCGAAATCCATCTCTCTGAGAAGCCTGAACCTAATCGGAGGATTTGCCCTGCTTTTCACCTGATCTACCCACACGCTCAGTCATCCCTTTATCCCTTGTTCACACTCTGCCTGTCCACCGAACCTGCTGTCACACACAGTCTGGGGTCAGGCTGGGTCAGGACCTCAGAAGCTAAGCTAATGAGCCACGCTCGGTTTCCTCTGGTGACACGGCCGGGAGTAAAAACCGCAAAGGTGAAAGTTTTATCTTATCCAGGAGTCTGAGAGAGAGGGAAGAGAAAACTGGGGCGGGATGGTCAGTCAGTAGCCCGGGGTGAGGGCTGTCGGCCGGGGGAAGCAGAGAAGGCTGAAGGTGGATGATGGCTCCTTTGTGGAAGGCCATGCTGTCCAAGAGCAGCCCGCTGTACAGAGACTCTCTGTTCTCCTTCTCTCTGTGGGAGTGGAAGGCTCAGGAGAGAGAACTACTGCTGCTGAAGAAACTCACCGACAGGGAGAGGAGAGCATTGCTCGCACAACTCGACAAGTAAGAAACAAGGAACAACAACATGGGATAACCATAAAGATAATTTTTTATGTAGCACTTTTAAAACAACATTACAGTGTTCTTCTTTACAAGAAGATAATAGTTGGTGCAAAGTCACGTGGCAAGCTAAACATTCGTCCATTAAAGGTTTAAGAGTTTTTATTAGAAGCAACTGTCTAAACAATATTAGACAACAAATTCAATGATAGTGATTTGAGAAATCAAATTACTATTAAAACTATTATTTCGACCAAAGGTGTTGTAAAAATATCTAAATATGCACGTATGATTTTTGTCAATTTAAAACATTATTTTGAAAGTCAAGGAAGTTGCAGTCTGTGGAAAGACTCTGAAAATACGTATTTAGAAAGACCGCAAACCCAAAAGTGGCTTATGTGAAGTCTTAACTGTTCATCCCAATGTCCTGAAGCTAACGTCAAAGAAGTTACATGAGTAGGTGATGTGATGAAAGGACAAGAAGTCGCAAGCAATGGACAAATTTTTCCCAAATAAGGTCCACACGTCCAACACGTATGTTCATGTACAGGTTAAACAAATGAGACAGAAAATAAATTGGCAAAGAGGTTTTGACGCGGACAATATTTTTAAAACTTTGCACAGAACCATGCTAGATGTTTCTCCCTCCTTCCAGCGCTGTACTTAACACAAAGACATTCTCATTTCACTCTTGGAAAGAAAGCAAGTAAAGAGTTTTTTGGGGGGGGTTGAGATCTGTTTGGAAAGAAAATATAAGGATTAACAAGGACGCTGTAGTTGTAAATGTGACATGATCATTAACAGATAGAAACATACTGTAGATTGACTTTGATGTTGAAATCATCGTGTGACTGTGGGTCTGTAAATGTGTGTGTGTGTGTTATTGCATGTGTGTGCATCAGCCCGTTTGATTTAGACAAATGACCTTCGCCTCAACATCTGTGTCCCAACACGTCACTGTTAATTAAATCAGCTGTAGGGGACACACTGCATACGCAACTTGTGTCACCATTTGTGAGTGTGTAGTTTGTCTTGTTGTCCCTCCAGCTTCCTCTCTATGTCTGCCCTTCCTGTCAGTATAAATATCTTGTTCTTGTGAGAGTGTGACTCTCCATTTTTACCTGGGTGACGTGGTACAGTGCCAGGTAAACACAAGTCACTAAGAGGCTTCCCCAAAGCAACACGATGCGCTCAGCAAAGCCTTTATGGGACGGTCCAGATTAGCAGGCAGGTGACTCACACACCTGGTACATTATTACTCATTAATGTTCTGAGTATGAAACAAAACCTCATCTGATAGACCAGTGCAGGAGCAGGTTAGATCATATTTTAATGAATGATCGGTTTTATCTACACCAGCTGTTCCTTACAGTAAAATTCATTAATGAAAGATCTAAAAAGTAGTGATGCAATTTGAAAAGTTTGATCAGTTAAGTCATTCATTAGGGATCCAAGCAGCGAAGCAAAAACTGTACGACTAAAACTTAGTATTTTCGGTTTCTCCAATTGGCAGGATCATTTTCAGACTTTGTTGATTTAAGTTATGAAAGAGTTTTGCTTTGTCAAAAAGGTTTTGAAGTTATAAATTTTTACATTTGTGTCTTAAAGTTTAATTTAACATAAATCATCATAAATCAAAATTCGCTAAAGCTATTGTAACCAAACTTGGAGCGTGTGTTTGGATGCTAGGTCGGAGATTTCGTTGGGCTGTCCTGGGATATTGTGCCATTAGGGGGCGACAAAAATGTCTCATAATTGGCTGTAATAATTGCCTCACTGAACCTATGATCAATTCAGGTGTCTGTCACTATATATTTTCCAAAAGCTTAACATAGCTGCGCAAAATAATTGCGATTGGCCCTGGTGCAAATATTTTTCTTGTGCCCTCCGCCCCAAAAAGCATGTTCGTGTGCACATGGGCCAAACGCAAATCTTACAGCCTGTCCTTGACTCAAACCACCACAGCTTGCTGTCTGCGTCTATCAAATAAACCGAAATAGCTTTAGCCAGACTACAGTAACAAATCAACACAAAGTAGCAGACACAGGATGTCAATAACCACAGAACAAATGGCAAACAAGAAAAGCACAGCAGCTCATTATGCCTGCACTGTCTGATGCTGAATCAATTAACATCAATCTGTATCTTTCAAAGTCTTTTAAAAGTCTTCAGTCTGAGCTAAGGCCTTGTCCACACGTACACGGGTATTTTTGTAACTGGAGTTTTTCCTGAGGCTGGTTCCGTGTGTGTACGTTTAAAGTGACCATAGATACCAGAGTCTGGCACATGTGATGTCATTGCATCAAGTTGTGAGAAGGTGGCTGGAAACCAGCTCTCACCAGTGGCTCGGTAAAGTCAGTAAATCACCTTCTCTTGGGAATTCATGCATGTGGGTGTTTTCACCAGCTCAGTGAGGTCATATTAAGTCAAGATTGCCTATTGTAACTTGGACCCGGTGAAAATGTCTCTCTCCCACTACTCAGGAACATGAAATGAAAATCAATGACCTCAAGGTGACGCTGTTATAATCAAGTTTACATTTTTGTAATTATCTGAGACGGCTTGGCTAAGAGACAAACTTCATCATTTTAATCTCTCAAATCATTTGCATTTGCTTGACACACGTTTATAGATTACATCTATTGAGCCAATTAATTATAGAAATGGCTAACATTAAATTGAATTGCACTTTCCCCAGCCAAATTTATCTTGCTTATCTTAAAATGAGCAAATGTACATGTAAGGGTTGCACTAGATTAATATGGAATTGTGGTCTGGAATAAAGTAAATGGATTAACTTGACTGATAACTAAAACCCATATTAATTATATATTGTGTGTGTGTGTGTGTGTGTGTGTACAGGCTCAGTAAGGAGCTGCAGCAGAAGGACAAGATCATCGAGTCTCTCCGCACCAAACTAAACCAGCATCACCATCATCATCCTCATCGCTCCGACACGCCCTGCAGCAGCCATGCGCTCTCTGACACCACTGACCAATCAGATCGTATCTCCTATGTGTCTGATGAGCATGGATCCACCAACGAGGACCTGGAGCTTTGCTCTGATGTGGACGCTGCCAGCGAGCTCGGTCAGAAGGAAACACGCACTTCCACCAGACTCAGCACAGGTGAGAACATGACACCCGTCATCTGGCTTCCAGTGTATTTGTGCAAGTGAAGAGAAAATACTAAATCAATCTATACTATATTTGATATGGATGAATCCACATGTGGTACTTTAGTGAGTATTTGGGGCAGCAGGACGTTGTATGTGGGACTGACACACAATCTGTTCCCTCCATCATGTCCTTTGGTGACAGCTGACTCTTTTCATTTCCAGATTGCCGCTCTCACAGTGGCTCCATGTCACGTCACCCGTCTGTCCCTCCATCCATCACCTCATCCCACAGATCTCAGTCGTGCCTCAGCTGTCCCAGCATGCAATGCCCGAGCTCACCACACAAACCCATAGACGTGCAGAGTCAGACAGGTAGGAATGGGCGCAGGGGAGTTGCCGAGGCTTTAAAGAAAGAAACTTTCTTTTATGTGTATTCTGCTGCATTCACCTCACACCTCTGAACTGTTGCTTTGTGACGTCTTGTTCTTTCGTGCCTTTCTTTCATCTTTGTGCTTTGGATTCTTCTTTTCCTCCCAGCTCCAGCCTCAGTCCTCACCTCCACCCCCTTCCACCCTCCCCTCTCCTCCTCCACCCAGAGGGTTACTTTGCCCTTCCAAGCCCACCCCGCACCCCTGAGAACCCGCTACCAAGGCAGCGGGGGCGTGGGTTTCTCCCTGGCTGAGGTGCATCAGGAGCTGCAGATGTTACAAAGGCAGCTGGCAGACAATGAGAGTGCGTCGGTCTCGCTGTCCGTGCATGTTTAGATCTAATTGTGTGTTTGAGGCTCAATAAACCTGTGCAGCATACCTGAATGAGAATTTCAACAAAATCAAGCCATCGCTGCTTAAAGGATTTTTAGGGAATAGTGTATATTCTGCTCTCACACACAGAAGGGGATAATGACCAGCTGAGCCAGTGGACACGAGCAGATTTTCAAGCCAAAATCGAGTTTAAACTTCCAGAGAGTAGTGACTTGTTTTTTTCTAACTTTATTTCTAGATTTATCACATTCACAGTATGTTAGGAGCTGGAAGAAGAAGAACAAATAACAGACTATCCTGAGTAGCTCACTGTAAGTTCTAGTTGACAGATTCCTCAAGCATATTTTACAAAGGAAGCACAGGGGACAGCCTGATGATACCTGATGATGGCTGAACAGAAAGCCAAAGTACAGTGCAACAATTTTAGTGTAACAACCATAACTTCTGCAGCCTTGAGTTTGCATGGCATCTGCACTCATCAGGATGTGTCTCCCAGTTTGAGCTGTTCAGAGAAGCCTCTTGACCTCATCGTGAGGTGCCCTAGATGCTTCAACAGCTTTCAGACACGTTTGATTGAATTCAATCTTGCCAAAATCAAGCGCATGTTGACGACGCACCTTGGAGATGAGTCTGAGACGATGCAGTCTTTGATACTACCACTGGATGGCGCCAAAGTTTGATATTGTTTTCACACAGTGGGTTTAATGAAAATAGGTCTGATTGATCCACTGTGTAAGGGAGGAGAGATTTATGACCTTTTGATCTAAGAAGAAGTAGAGAAACAACTGAATAATTGTTATCTGTATGGGACTCAATTAAAATTTGTTCAAATGTGTTGCACTAGATAACCGCCTCACCCTCAGTATGAGGATCAGTGATGTTACTGCTGCTGCATGTAGATACACAGGGAGTGAAATAAAGTGAGAGTTGACCAGCTTTAATAATCCGCATCTCCCCTAATGCCTTTGCTTCTTTCTTTTCATCTTCCATTTGCCTTCATCTTAACCCCACTGCACTTTCATTCTCATTAAATAACTGTTCTTCATTTGATGCTTAATGAACCCAGAGCACCCAGCTTGAGAAGGATTTGCTGTGATTTTTAAACACTAATGAGGGATGGAGCTTTGAGAAACCCCGAACCAGACCGATTTCATTCGGCCGATTAAATTGTTTCCTACGTCAAAAGAAATCCCTTCATTTCTCTTAAGTATTTCACTCTCCTCTTTATTTGTGTCTCACAAACGACTCTAACTTCTTTTGAAATACAAAAGTGTCTGTCTCTGTCCCTCCCAGGCTTTTCATTAAAATTTGCTTACTTACTTACTTGATGTTACTTTATCTTCCTCTCAGGGTTTTCCGCGCCTCAGTCCAAACCTCTTCAGGGTTTCCCCTTTTCCCACCAGCAGCCCGACTCCTCTGCCTTCCTGCCTCTCTCCTACCACGGATACCAGCCTTCTCCTTTCAGCAGCGCTACCAGCAGCTGCCTGGATGCCAGCTCAGCAATGAAAGCTGGGGCCAGTCTTCTGGAGAGCAGTGCATTGTGGGATATGGCCTATGGCACCCGACCACTGAGACTTGGAGCCGACCTGTCCTCAGGATCCTCGGGGTACAGTCGGGCGCCAGCAACACAGGTAAGATACACAGTTAAATCCTTAATGTGAAAATGTTTCACTGGAGGTTAGATGTTAATTTTTGACCTTTTGGGGAAAGTTTTAGAAGCTTTTAACTACTTCTGAGTTTTAAGATCTTTGTTGTTTCATAATCTCTACTTGTTTAGTAATGCTGTGCAGGTTATATACACATTAAGCTGCGTTACCAAAAAACTTTAATGCAACTTTACAACAAATAGAGAACCGTGGGACAAAAAATCTCTGGTCTCTGAGAGCAGATTGTCAATCATGTTTTTTTTTTTGTTGTTGTTGCAGGTTCAGACCTGATGAAGGAGCACCTGCGAGAGATCAGGACTCTGAGACAGAGACTGGAGGACTCGATCCAGACCAACGATCGCCTCAGACAACAACTAGAAGAGCGACTGGCCCGCACCTCCTCGGAGAAAGGTAACACACACACACACACACTCAAAAGTCTTAATCATGGAACTTGGAATAGACAGTATGGATCCTGAAATGCTCTTCAGATGTCAGCTATAAAATATCTATAATGATTTATGCACATTTCATAATTACATGGTATGCCTTTGTTTCACTTAGTTTTATACTGATTTCCTTGAAATTTTTCCAAGAAATGTCCTTGAAAGAAACTGTTAATTTGTAAGAACCTGAAAAAATGTATGTAATTTGGTAGGAAAATAGAGAAAGTGTTTGTTCAGTTGGAGATTTAAAGCATAATTTTGGTATTTTTAAACCTTTTCACAATTTTCACATATGTTGGTGTCGAAATGACTCGTAGGTTACACCAGGTGTCCGACAACGTCATGGAAAGGATCCTTAAACTAAACTGAAGTCTCGCTCAAGCACAGTTCTTGCTCTGAAATCTCGTGAGAGGCGAGTTGTCGTAGGAAACGGCGGTGAAAACGATGGAGTGGAGTTTGTTGTGTATGTAGAGGAGCTGCTAGCGAGACTTTACTCCAACAGAACAAACTTCTCTCTCCAACTCTGACCCACGTCTACGCCGTCGTCTTCCTGCAACAAATCGCGTCCTGTGAGATTTCAGAGCGAGACTTCGGTTTCTTGTTAAAAGCAAAGGAGCCCCTCGTAGGGATCCTTTCCATGATGTTGTGTAACAGTCTGAACTTGTCGGTGGCAACTAGCCGCACTTCTTATGAATAAGATTTTGACGGACGCAGTGGCCCCGAAGGAACATGTTGCAGCCACTGAAGCATCAACTGCACGGATACCAAAACTTGTTGGACCTACTAGTGATTTTCACACCAACATATGTGAAAATAAGGCAGAGGTTTAAAAAAACAAAACTTTACATGCTTAACGTCTCCTTGTCCTCTTCAGGTGCTCCTACCAACATCTACATCCAGGGTCTGGACTCAGTCGGCCAGCTCTCCAGTGAGATCAGACTTCTGAAGGAGGAGAACGTCAGCCTGCAGAACCAGCTGAAGCAGGCCACCAGAGGTACAGCCTGATGTTCACCACCCAAAAACACGTCCATGACATTTTTATCATCATCTGTTGTGTTTTGAAAAGTTGTTTTTAGCAGATTTGCTGAGCTCTGTGCTGTCATGTGTCCCCTGCAGAGGGCAATAAGGAGGCAGAGCAGCTGAGGGAGGCAGCTCTCCTGGAGCAGGCCAGGTTGAAAGAGGCGGAGCTAGAGGCTGAGAGGTGGGCGGAGCAAAGCAGGAAGCTGCAAACTGAGGCTGAAGCGCTCAACCAAGAGATTGCGCAACTGAAACAGGACAGACAGAGGAACCAGGAAACCATCAACAGGTGTGTGTGTGTTCATGTACTTTGTTTTGAAAAGGGAGGACGTGTTTGAGGGTTAGATAGACTCTGATGAGTTGTGCTTAGAGAGTTAAAGAGCAACTTAACGCCTGCTGAAAATCTTTGGTGGTTTAATTTCTCTGTTATTTAATTTATTATTATTTTATTATAATTTCATTATTAATTTATATATATTATAAGTCTCTATATTGTGTTTACAAGCTGGACTGTAAATTGATTTCCAATAAAATGTATTTAAAAAACCTCAGAGGGCAGTCAGATACTGCTCTATTGTTACGGGCTAGAGAATATATTATGTCCAAGTTAGCAGATGTTTTGCTCAGTTGCTTCATATCAAAATGAGCTGAATATGACTAAAATAACATATTATTTATGTATATGTCTGTGTTTTCATAGATTCCAGCATGAGGTGAGCATCCTTCAGCAGCAGCTATGTGAGAGCCACAGTCTGGTCCAATCTCTTCAGCGTGAGCTGCAGGTGTATCACAGAGTGTGTGGAGTCACCGCAAACACACACTCAGGTAAGACGTTGCACTCCCAGAGACATTTTAAGCCTCTAAGATTTGTTTTTGTACAGTGACCCGGCACCGGGAATCACGGCTCCATTCAGGGACGTGATGATGCTGAAATTGCTTCACAATTTTTAAAAAATTTGAATGTTCTTAAAACAGTGACAGCATTTGAGCGGCTTTTACATTTATTTACTCAGGGACACAATGGTGGATGGTCACAGTGGGGAGTTGAACCCCAATCTCTCACACCAAAGGCATCTGTCTTATCCACCCTATTAAAAGCATAATAAATAATATACTTGAAAATGTGATTTAATTTCCCAAACATATTTCTTAAAAAGAGCGGGATAGGTTAAAATGACCGAACTCTGTTTCTTCTCTCACTCATACAGAAACTAAATATACTGGCTAATGTTTGTGTTACACATCTTTTGTTTGCGTCTTTCTAAGCAGGTCAGTCCAGTGAAGGTACCCAACACACTGCAACCTTTGACCCCAGAGAGTTGCACATACAGCTGGAGCAGCAGCTGAGTGGACAGACTGGCCCACTGCCTCGGTCCAGGAGGCAGCTCTTCAATGGTCAGTACATCAGCATCTTGAAATAAGATGGAATAAAGCAGATCACAACACTAGATTTAAGGAAAATGACTCTCAGTAACAGAGAGATATGTCGTGTTAAGGAGATTTTTGCAGTTCAATAACTGATAGAGATCTTCCTCCACAGACGACGTTCCCTCCCCTCCCGTGAGAGACACTGGACTCGTCAGTCCTTCCTCTCCTCTACATCCTGCACAGAAACATGCAGAAGACACCGGAGCAGCCGATCGAGGTGAGCAGCTCTCTTTCACGCGTGAACAGATCTACCTTCATCTTTACGTATGAAAGCAGATATTTGTTACAACCAACTTGCCTCCATAAATCACATGGGAGCACTTCATTGCACGTATAACTTGTTTCTACCGCCTGCTCTTACATCTTATTTCTCTCGTCTTCCCTCCCGGCAGCCTCGACCCTGCAGGGTCAAGCCCCAGACGGCTCTTTCTCCAACCGTCATGGCCGCCATGCAGTGGGCCACATTGACGACTTCAAGGCTCTGCAGCGGCAGATCCTGGAGGGCAGCGCTCTCCTCCGCAAGATGGATGCCACCCTTCATTCCCTGAGCAACCCACCGGAGTTCAGCCTTCATCAAGTGAGAATACAATAATGTGTACAATTATTTATAGCATTATAGCACAAGAACTATTATAATTATAGACAAGAGTTTCTGGTTTGTCTAAGTTTTACGTTATTATTTTTAGATGCTGGTCATACTAAGGGAGTTTTTTTACCTCTCTTTGCTTTTAAGGACTTGATGATTTTGGGATTGACAAGAAAAATAGCTGACGGATTAATCATTAGTTTGTGTTTTGTGTGCGTCAGCCTTCAGACTCCGGTTCTGTCAGGAAGCTGCTGTCTGACAGTAAAACCCTGCGGCAGATCCTGGAGGAGGCCGGCTCTCTGCTCCGGATGTTCTGGAGAGCAGCTCTGCCAAACTTCGAGGAATCCAAACAGGTCAGACTAAAAGCTGAAAGGAAAGGAACCAAGAGCAGAGGGGTTTTTGAAACCCTGTCCTCTTTGATCCTCCTTTGTGACTTTGTTCCTGTTAGTTTCTTTTCAACATCTTATATTTACTGAAACACCAGCTGATATGTTTTGGCTGTTAAACAGAGGTAATAGCTGAATCACTGGAGACTGAAGTCTACAGCGGTCAGTGTCAGACATTTATTAAGTGACAAAATTATTTGGTCGCTAAGACTCCTAAAACTTGATGTGACAGGTGAACTTCCAAGAAGTGAAATGGTATGCAACAAAAGACAATTTACTACAGCTTTTGCTGCTGTTTGGGCGAGCTACTTGGAAAATGTAGTGAGCTAAGCTACTAGTTACTCTACAATAAATGAAGCTCCACTACACAGAAGCTACCCCCCAGGAAACTGTAGCAAAAGTAGTGTACTACATCTAAGCTACTTTTAATTAGTTTTATTATTTTATATATATACGCACACACACACACACACACAGTATAGGTTTAGTAGTACTAGTTTATATTGAGCCAACTTCATTCCACAGTAGCAAAAGAAGAAAGACTACAGAGTGAGAGAGAGAAATCTAAGTCAAAGCAAAATGTGTTTCCTCATGCAATCAACTGAGAACCATTGTTGTTTGTATAAAATTAAATGTAAAATGATCACATTATCATCATTGATATTGTTTGTTATTTTAATAATTGTTCCTTTGTAAAGTTCCACTGCTTGTCAAAAAGCAAGACACATTTTCTATGTCACATATTTTGTGTTTTGATTGTTTTTTCTTCTTTCTTTAGTTTTTATAATGTCATTTCATTGTTTATTAAATTATATCTTTTTTTATTGTTTATATGTCAATATGTGCTCTGGCAACACTGTTTACCTAAAGATTCATGGCAATAGGCTGGACCCTGATCCTTCTCACAAGAGCTGTTACAACAACTATCACAAGAGAAAGTAAACTCAGTCGCGCGTGTCTTTATTCCCCTGCAGCAAAGTTGCAGGCAGAAATGCTCGAGGAAATGTAGCCTGGACGCAATTGTGCTACTCGGCCAGTAGAAGAGCTTCGCTATTGAAAAGCTATTTGATTCAGAAAACAGCGACGCTACCACCAAGCTACTGAGAAATGTAGTTAAACTAGTGACTGCCCAACTGCCCAACACTGGAAAACAGTAATTGATTACATAAATAAAACCCTGTGGATGAACCTTGGAAACCTATCCTTAAAATAAATAATTGTTAAATGGTCTAGCAGGCTGATTGGTGAGTCACAGCTTAACTCAGCACCCCTGTACACCAGGAAGTTACAGTGGATAAGTGGCTCAATGTTAAATTAAATTCAGCCAACACAGTATCCACACAGAAATACAGTAAACGATGACTGCCACACTTTGCACTCTGAATTTCAGTTTCTTCCTTCTAGAGGAAGGTTTCTAGTCCCAAAGTGCTGAACAAAGCACAGATGATACAGAATCAACACTTTATCTGTTTACTTTCTTCACATGTTTATTTATTTTAATGTTTGTAACATTGAGTATTTTTTGTATGTTTATATACTGACTAATGTCTATTGTCGCTGTTGTTTCTAAAATGTGAGGATGACTCGTCCACACTGCAAAACAAATCTACGTATGAGCACAAGTAAAGTAACCTGAATAAAGTAAAGATGTGTGGACAAACACACAAGAATGTGCTGTGTGTGTTGACAGGATCCGTCTCTGAGGGAGGAGGTCGTTTCTCTCCGTCTGAGGCTCTCAGAGCAAGAACAGGCTCTCAAGGATGCCATGGAGAGAGTGAAGAGCTCCAACCGCACCAAAGATAGCATGGAGCACTTTATAGTCAGCCAGCGTGAGTCCCTGATGTTCCTACTAGATCATAAAAAAACATATTGCTTTTTCTTATTACAGAAAAAATAATAACCCTGAAATTCTGTCAGTTATGATGAATTAATGATATTTATATTTTATTTTTTCTTATTTTATCTCTTAGTCACTGCATAATACTTTGATACAAGAGTCAGACAGCTAGAGTTATGGATAAGATGAATTACCATCAGATGGGATAATCTTTCATCACCGTCTGTTTCACTGTCTGGCGTCGTCTTCTTCCAGCTCTCTCCTCTTTCTGTCCCACAGCAGCTGTGTTGTTGACCGAGTCGGTCTTGTATTTACTGCTCGACCGAAACCTGTCTGTTTAACCGATGAAAGAACAAGCGATGGCTCACAGATGCTCTGTGCTTTTGTTTCCAGTGTCGAGAACACAGGACGTCTTGAGGAAAGCCAAGACGAACTTACAGGTGAGTTCACGAGTTCTCACATGTTCACCGGGCATCATAAGCCTTTTCCTTCCAGCAGGGGATTAACCGAGGAGTTGGATGAGATGATGGGACACACTTGATTTTCTTAACTAGCAGAGAAACGTGATCAGAAGTGGATCAGTAAAAGTAAAAATCTCCGTAACGCCCTCTCACTTCTCTCCGCTGTTTCTCTTTCCTCGGACTCCTGCTGAGTCTCCTCAGGAGAACGAGCTCAGGATTTCTTCCCTTCGCTGTGCCTCTTTCTCCATTCCCTCTTTTCACCCTCCTCCTCATCCTCTTCCTCACACCCCCAGCTTGATAAAGGTATGGTCCCCTGTGCTCGGATAACATAACGAAGCTGCTTGTTATTTGATGGAAACCCTGGTATTAAAACAGTGCTGCATGAAGCCGGCTAAGTCGTTTCATTTTAAACTTATTTCATAAACCAGTAACTGTCAGCGTGCTTTTACTGGCAGACTTGGACGCCTCGTACACAAAAAGGCAACCCATATTAGCTTTTTGCTTATGTTTCCATCTTGTCTAATAACATGGACACATGACTTGTGTTACTTTTTGTCTCACTGCACGAGCTGTAAAAAGGAACATACTGTGGAGTAAAAGGGGCACAGCTTCATTAGATATCTAACTGTTACAGGCCTCAAGCATGAGGGACCTGCGAACAGATACTGTGTCCTGTTTTGTACAGGAAAAGCAGAGACAGGAGTTCAGCAGGCTGTTCTGTCTTTATTAAACAGAATATATCTCTTTTTTTTTCTTTCTTCATTTACTACTTCACCACTCTCAGTCTCGACTGATACTATGACTCACACTTACTGCTGTTTAACATCTCCAAAATCATATACATCCTGTAGCTTTGATACTTTCAAGCCTGCTTATTTCACACTTTTACAAAATATAAAAACAACACAGAGGCCTACGTTACACAGAATACAACCCTTTTTATCCTAACCAACATGTTACAACTATATTCAGTATTATCACGTTGACATGAACTGAATTAAGGACATGACACATTCTCAACCATAGGTGTGATTTACACTGGGGATGCTGGGGACATGTCCCCACCACTTTTGAAATGGCTCATTTTGTCCCCATCACTTTTGAAATGGCTGATTTTGTCCCCACCACTTTTGAAATGGCTCATTTTGTCCCCATCACTTTTGAAATGGCTGATTTTGTCCCCACCACTTTTGAAATGGCTCATTTTGTCCCCATCACTTTTGAAATGGCTGATTTTGTCCCCACCACTTTTGAAATGGCTCATTTTGTCCCATCACTTTTGAAATGGCTGATTTTGTCCCCACCACTTTTGAAATGGCTCATTTTGTCCCCATCACTTTTGAAATGGCTGATTTTGTCCCCACCACTTTTGAAATGGCTGATTTTGTCCCCATCACTTTTGAAATGGCTGATTTTGTCCCCACCACTTTTGAAATGGCTGATTTTGTCCCCACCACTTTTGAAATGGCTGATTTTGTCCCCATCACTTTTGAAATGGCTGATTTTGTCCCCACCACTTTTGAAATGGCTGATTTTGTCCCCATCACTTTTGAAATGGCTGATTTTGTCCCCACCACTTTTGAAATGGCTCATTTTGTCCCCATCACTTTTGAAATGGCTCATTTTGTCCCCACCACTTTTGAAATGGCTGATTTTGTCCCCATCACTTTTGAAATGGCTGATTTTGTCCCCATCACTTTTGAAATGGCTCATTTTGTCCCCACCACTTTTGAAATGGCTCATTTTGTCCCCATCACTTTTGAAATGGCTGATTTTGTCCCCATCACTTTTGAAATGGCTGATTTTGTCCCCACCACTTTTGAAATGGCTCATTTTGTCCCCATCACTTTTGAAATGGCTCATTTTGTCCCCACCACTTTTGAAATGGCTGATTTTGTCCCCATCACTTTTGAAATGGCTGATTTTGTCCCCATCACTTTTGAAATGGCTCATTTTGTCCCCACCACTTTTGAAATGGCTCATTTTGTCCCCATCACTTTTGAAATGGCTGATTTTGTCCCATCACTTTTGAAATGGCTCATTTTGTCCCCACCACTTTTGAAATGGCTGATTTTGTCCCCACCACTTTTGAAATGGCTGATTTTGTCCCCACCACTTTTGAAATGGCTGATTTTGTCCCCATCACTTTTGAAATGGCTGATTTTGTCCCCACCACTTTTGAAATGGCTGATTTGTCCCCATCACTTTTGAAATGGCTGATTTTGTCCCCATCACTTTTGAAATGGCTCATTTTGTCCCCATCACTTTTGAAATGGCTCATTTTGTCCCCACCACTTTTGAAATGGCTGATTTTGTCCCCATCACTTTTGAAATGGCTGATTTTGTCCCCATCACTTTTGAAATGGCTCATTTTGTCCCCACCACTTTTGAAATGGCTCATTTTGTCCCCATCACTTTTGAAATGGCTCATTTTGTCCCCATCACTTTTGAAATGGCTGATTTTGTCCCCACCACTTTTGAAATGGCTCATTTTGTCCCCATCACTTTTGAAATGGCTCATTTTGTCCCCATCACTTTTGAAATGGCTCATTTTGTCCCCACCACTTTTGAAATGGCTGATTTTGTCCCCATCACTTTTGAAATGGCTCATTTTGTCCCCACCACTTTTGAAATGGCTCATTTTGTCCCCATCACTTTTGAAATGGCTGATTTTGTCCCCATCACTTTTGAAATGGCTGATTTTGTCCCCACCACTTTTGAAATGGCTGATTTTGTCCCCATCACTTTTTGAAATGGCTGATTTTGTCCCCATCACTTTTTGAAATGGCTGATTTTGTCCCCATCACTTTTGAAATGGCTCATTTTGTCCCCATCACTTTTGAAATGGCTGATTTTGTCCCCATCACTTTTGAAATGGCTCATTTTGTCCCCACCACTTTTGAAATGGCTCATTTTGTCCCACCACTTTTGAAATGGCTCATTTTGTCCCCATCACTTTTGAAATGACTGATTTTGTCCCCATCACTTTTGAAATGGCTGATTTTGTCCCCATCACTTTTGAAATGGCTGATTTTGTCCCCACCACTTTTGAAATGGCTGATTTTGTCCCCATCACTTTTGAAATGGCTGATTTTGTCCCCACCACTTTTGAAATGGCTCATTTTGTCCCCATCACTTTTGAAATGGCTGATTTTGTCCCCATCACTTTTGAAATGGCTGATTTTGTCGCCACCACTTTTGAAATGGCTGATTTTGTCGCCACCACTTTTGAAATGGCTGATTTTGTCCCCATCACTTTTGAAATGGCTGATTTTGTCCCCATCACTTTTGAAATGGCTGATTTTGTCCCCATCACTTTTGAAATGGCTGATTTTGTCCCCGTCACTTTTTGAAATGACTGATTTTGTCCCCACCACTTTTGAAATGGCTGATTTTGTCCCCATCACTTTTGAAATGGCTGATTTTGTCCCCACCACTTTTGAAATGGCTGATTTTGTCCCCACCACTTTTGAAATGGCTGATTTTGTCCCCATCACTTTTGAAATGGCTGATTTTGTCCCCATCACTTTTGAAATGGCTGATTTTGTCCCACCACTTTTGAAATGATTTTGTCCCCACCACTTTTGAAATGGCTGATTTTGTCCCCATCACTTTTGAAATGGCTGATTTTGTCCCCATCACTTTTGAAATGGCTGATTTTGTCCCCATCACTTTTGAAATGGCTGATTTTGTCCCCACCACTTTTGAAATGGCTGATTTTGTCCCATCACTTTTGAAATGGCTCATTTTGTCCCCATCACTTTTGAAATGGCTCATTTTGTCCCCATCACTTTGAAATGGCTCATTTTGTCCCCATCACTTTTGAAATGGCTCATTTGTCCCCATCACTTTTTGAAATGGCTCATTTTGTCCCCATCACTTTTGAAATGGCTCATTTTGTCCCCATCACTTTTTGAAATGGCTCATTTTGTCCCCATCACTTTTTGAAATGGCTGATTTTGTCCCCATCACTTTTGAAATGGCTGATTTTGTCCCCACCACTTTTGAAATGGCTGATTTTGTCCCCATCACTTTTTGAAATGGCTGATTTTGTCCCCACCACTTTTGAAATGGCTGATTTTGTCCCCACCACTTTTGAAATGGCTGATTTTGTCCCCATCACTTTTGAAATGGCTGATTTTGTCCCCACCACTTTTGAAATGGCTGATTTTGTCCCCATCACTTTTGAAATGGCTGATTTTGTCCCCACCACTTTTTGAAATGGCTGATTTTGTCCCCACCACTTTTTGAAATGGCTGATTTTGTCCCCACCACTTTTTGAAATGGCTGATTTTGTCCCCACCACTTTTTGAAATGGCTGATTTTGTCCCCACCACTTTTGAAATGGCTGATTTTGTCCCCATCACTTTTTGAAATGGCTGATTTTGTCCCCATCACTTTTTGAAATGGCTGATTTTGTCCCCATCACTTTTGAAATGGCTGATTTTGTCCCCATCACTTTTTGAAATGGCTGATTTTGTCCCCACCACTTTTTGAAATGGCTGATTTTGTCCCCATCACTTTTGAAATGGCTGATTTTGTCCCCACCACTTTTTGAAATGGCTGATTTTGTCCCCACCACTTTTTGAAATGGCTGATTTTGTCCCCACCACTTTTTGAAATGGCTGATTTTGTCCCCATCACTTTTTGAAATGGCTGATTTTGTCCCCACCACTTTTTGAAATGGCTGATTTTGTCCCCACCACTTTTTGAAATGGCTGATTTTGTCCCCACCACTTTTTGAAATGGCTGATTTTGTCCCCACCACTTTTGAAATGGCTGATTTTGTCCCCACCACTTTTGAAATGGCTGATTTTGTCCCCACCACTTTTTGAAATGGCTGATTTTGTCCCCACCACTTTTTGAAATGGCTGATTTTGTCCCCACCACTTTTTGAAATGGCTGATTTTGTCCCCACCACTTTTTGAAATGGCTGATTTTGTCCCCACCACTTTTGAAATGGCTGATTTTGTCCCCATCACTTTTTGAAATGGCTGATTTTGTCGCCACCACTTTTGAAATGGCTGATTTTGTCGCCATCACTTTTTGAAATGGCTGATTTTGTCGCCATCACTTTTGAAAGTATTTAAGATGGTTCTGATAAATTGCTTACAACAAGAAACGTTAAATAACAAAGGTTTATTTGCACAATAAGAAACATGCAATGCAATATAAACATCTAAGAAACGAATGTGCATTGTCCAAGAAAGTACCATAAACTAAAAACAAACAAGTTGCTAAGTACCACATTATATTACAATATATTTTTATATTTTGTATTGTCACCTTACACCTGAATTTTGTGTTTCCTTTACATATATATATATATATATATATATATATATATATATATATAATATATATATATATATATATATATATATATATATATATACACACCTCTTAACATCCCTTTAAATGGCTAAAACAACACACAAAATGCAGTATTCTACTTGCCACAAAGTAATTGCAGCCTCTACTTATTGACTGAATTTTTTGATTATATTCATGAGGGTTAAATTTGACAGATTATAACTCACCTAGTACCTTTTACCTCTTAAAATACCTTTAAATGGCCAAAACAACACATAAAATGCAGTATTCCTCTTGCCAAAGTGACTGCAGAAAATCTGGTCATCTTACCCCAAATCATATATCACAGTAGTGAAAATCTATTCTAATATCTTCTTGTTTTGTTCACGTTTCTGCACCCCTAATCTGAGCCCTTAAATGTCACCACCACTTTTCAGCACAAAGTGACGCCCCTTGTTCTCAACTCAAACTTTTAAATAACAGTACTTCAATCTTTAGCCTTAGCAAATACAAAGAAAGGTGCACATGTCCAGGAGCAATGACCATAAACAAAACATCGACAGAGGAAGGCCGCGCCATCTTAGTTACAGTTTTTACACGGGAGCCAACTAAACTTCAATTCAAAGTCTCTCAACTGGATAAACCACTGTTTACACATAAAACGTTGTCAGAACAACATAATGAAGACTTTAAAAGTGCTTATAAATGTATTGCAGCCCTACTAGCGCTCACATAAGTGAACACTTCCTCTTGTGGCGTCATTGAGCAATTGCACCCTCAAAAATACATTCACATTGTGCCCTTTTTAACAGGCTATTACACAAAACAACTTAACAGTTGTGACAACGTATTTGTAGGTGTCACATAAGGAACTTAGCTGTAACACAGTGAGCAGCTTAAAAAGTCACCAGTTTGACCTTGTAAGCTACAGTTGCCTGTTGGCTGAGCCGTCCAGTCAAACATGCGCACTGAGGCTTTCAGGCTGGAGCAGCGTTTCTCAAACATAAAGACCCTTTCATGCTTTTAAGAATAAAAAACGAAACATTTGAATATCATCTTGACAGTAAGTTTTGTCTGCAACAGAGATGACTTTTGTGATTTCAGTTGGAGCCTTTAAACACTAGTGGCTCTTTGGAGCAATGTTTTAATACATGGGTCCCTGTTTGTTTGTCTTTTAATATCTCTTGCTTTACTAACACTCACACAAGCACATGAGTATACACACATTATTACTACAGTGATGCTGACTACCGAGGCGGGTGCATGCAAGCCGTAAAGTGTGAAGAACACAAAGAAAACGGGTAGATGAGATACCGAGGAAGACCATAAGAAACACTAATGGAAACAGAACTTTGTTTGTTTATAAGAACACTCTACAGAGTACTGTTACACTGGAATGATTAGTTTTGCATGGCGTGTTCTGTTTAACACAAAACAGGAGTGTGAAGGTTAATATTTTACTCACTGGAAATGTTTGGAATTTCAGTTTGTGTTTATTCTAACACCCATAACCCACCGAGTATAAAGGTTTGAAGGGAGAAACATTACAAATCATTCCTTAGAATTACCATCTTGTGTGCGCAGTAAATGTTAGTTCCTTTAAATTAATCATTTGCACACCTACCCAGGAGTTACGTCATTTCACCTGAGTAAGTCGTGCATCAAATCGCATAAATTGGCCCCCGCTCTTTTAATTTAGACACCCTTCTTCCCTCTGCTCAGGTTCTTTGCTCTTTTGTTTATATATCTGTAAATTTGTGGAACTACTTGCCCCAGATGTCTGTGATATTACAACAGGGTGTAGGCCTCCTCACACTAGGCAATCCGTTATGTTTCAATCTCCTGAAAAATGCCATTAACCGCTATTGCTCAAAGAGAGACCGCAATTCGGTGACACACAGTAGCAAGCATATTATCAATTGTAGCGCTGTAGCCTACTAATTGGAGGATGCATCGAAAAGCCAATAACACTAAACAAATAAGCAGCAGTCAGTACAGAGTCTAATACAGTACAATACAACTGAGTTTTAGGTCGTGGCCTCAACCTGTTAGGTCAAAACTGTGCGCACAATAGCTGATGTGGAGAAGTGCAGCCATGCTGAGCTCCCTCGTAACGCAAACCCTGGTCTAAAACTAGTAGGGAAGGAGTTACATATTAGAATGATGCCTTGTTGTTATTTATTTAGTTCGATGTGCATTTACGTTGGAAAACTGTCAATAATTGCAAATGAGAACTGAAATAAATCCTCCTGCTATCACCCATGGCATGCTGCAGAACCTTGACATGAAGATGGTATAAACTCGACGACGATTGCAGCTTCATAAAGTTTTTATGGCAAATAAAGAACATGTTTTGTCGGGATTGGGAATGAAGCTCATTCAACAGTATTAATGTGAGGATTAATTCAGTTTCTAAGGGGACTAATTACTATTTTAAGGAATGTTTTATTAAAAAATGTGGCCAAGCTATGCAGAAGTACCACAATGCGAACTTCGCTGAATGTCTCCTCCTTTGTGTTTCAGGTGAAAACGCAGGAGGCTTCTGTGAGCTCGCCTTCTCTCTCTGGTTGGGGTGTCATGAGGCCCTGGACTTCCTCCATCTCCTCTTCCTCTGCTGTCCTGGGACCGGCTCACCACCAGCGCCCCCTGCAGCCAGCCTTCCGATAGTGCACCAGCCCCGTGATCCTTTTCATCATCATAATCATCATCATTTCAAGCCGAAAATGCTGGAAATTCTGGCTCTCTTATCGGCTGGAGAAACATTTCAGTTGAGTGGCGCCTTTGAGTGCTGATGAATGTTAGCGCTGGTCGACTCCTGCTCGTTGAAGATGAGTTTATGAATGTTGATTTATAATGGTTTTTTGTTGGTGTAATGTGTGTAACTGTTATGAGGGGCTTTTGTTGAGGACATCAACTGAAGTGTTTCTCTCATTTATATGAGACCAGTCTGAGTTTGGCTGAAGTTGGCTTCTGATTCATAGCTTCTGATTAAGTCTTTCCCACCTCATTTTCAGAAATCCGGGTCAGTTTAATCCAAGTCTAGCAGTTTTTGTGGTCTGGGCAGATGAAAAATGTCGATGATACCTAATTTCAGTCTGTAATATAGCAACCACATGAGAAGAAATATTCTCTGTTAGTTTATAATCATAAGCTCCCATTCAGAAGCCATTTTCAGTCTTGTACTTTAACAGGGATTCAAGAAACAAAACTCCACGTGATGCCAGCAGGAAAGGGGCTTTGAAAAAGCCAAAACCGTGACCTGGTGAGGCTGCTGTTTGTAGTAGTATGTAGAGTAGTCGCATGTGGTTTGAGCAGCTTGTGGAACCAAAGCCATACTCTCTGACAGTACAGTAGATATATCTTTTTGTTTTGTCCTAATTGTACAATAAAATTGGCATAAAAATGGCCATCTACTGATAACATGTGGAAAATACTACAGAACTACTAATAGGCACTTTGGTCAAATAGCTGGTAGATGATGTTCTTGTGCATTTACTCACAAATAAAACACCAATTTAGGAATTTTTCCTCATCGTCCCTAAACTCCAGAGCGTTTCAGTTAGTTCACTTCAGATGTTTAAAAAAGTATAAATGGGTCCAACCCAGTTTTTCCTGCTGAAACAGTAACCCGTGCAGCATCAGTGTTAATAAAACAGTACATGTTACAGACCGCACTCATCGAGCTGTTCAGCAGGTTTGGGCAACGCATCTGTTTAACATGAAAGAAATTTCTTTCTTTTTTTTAGTGCGTGATGACATCTCATTTTTGTAACCCAAAAAATGGACCACACTTTTAGCTTTTATTTTATTTTCAATACAGCTTTTGTTGTTTTGTTTTTTTTCTTTTTTGCTAAATTTGTTAAGCTTTTTTGTTTGAATTTCCCTCAAGATGACAATCACTTTTAAAAATATCAATCGTCTAGGAATCTAAAGTTCATCAAAACTTCGGTCACTGTGAAAAAGAACTTTTCTGAAATGGGTATTTCGCTCTGGCTCTCCACATTTAATTTATTTGTGAGTTTTTCTTGATTTCCCTGTATAGTAGGTTAGCCGTTCCTTACGTGCATGAACTGTGGCTTCACTGGCCTCTAATACTTTTTACTGAAATATGCAATTTTTGGGTTACTGTGCAATAATAGCCTGTTGTGTTTGCTTTTTGTTGGTGTTTTAGGCCTGGGTTTTAAAGTGCCATGTCATCTGTTTTTAGCTGTGAAGCTGAATTGATTTAAACAAACTTGACTTTTGGATGAATATGTCCAGTTTTTTGACAATCACCATGAATGCAGCAGTTTTAATGGCCTTGTTTTTTGGCTTAATATGAATCAGAGTTTTATAACATGGAAAAAAAGGCAACACCATAGAAGAGCACCGTAATGATATATTTAAAAAGCATAAGATCAACCAAAGTGAACAACTTGAGTGTTCAGATCAGTGTAACATGATCAAGTTTGAATATTGTTTTGTGTGTAATTCCCCAGAAAGGTCAAAGGTCAAACTTAGTGTCTTTCTTAGTGTCTGTGTGGTTTTAGAAACCACATCTCATGTATGTACATATTAAAGGGATGGTGTGTACATCAATGCAAGTTTGTTTTTTTGTCGTTGTCGCTGTTCGACAAAGACCAGCTGTATTTCTATGCATGTTCTCTTCGTTGAAAATGTTTTGGGGTAAAAAAAAATTAAGAAGAAAGATCCTTTTTCAATAAAAGGGGAGAAAACAACATCGGTCTTGTTTGTCGTCTTTCTTGGATCAACCAAACAAACACAAAGCAACACTTCAGGTTACAAATTGCAAAGAATGCTGACTTATTTATATTAGTTGTCACTGTGAAGAAATGATTAAATATAGTGTAGCACACAGCCTATAGTGAAATGTAACTTAGATCTTAAAAGATACGGTGGTCTGATCACTAAATATATTATACTGTATAGATAATTAAACACACTGGATGTTCGGGATGAATCATAAATACATCATAATATTCAGGTGTTTTTTTGTTTCACCATCATAATAACTGCAGGATTTTACTTATTCCCTTAAATTAAAAATTAAGATAATTAAGGAAGGTAAAATTTCTGAAAATATTGCAGAAATAAGTTAAAAACATATTCAAGGCATGTTTTATTGTCTTTCAGCAGGTGGCAGCAGACTCCAACAAAGCTAATAAACTAAAACCAACACGCGCACACACGCACGCACACACACACACACACACACACACGCACACGTGCGCGCGCACACACACAAACACAGGTATTCAACACAAATGGTTTTTACATATTTCTGGCATGTGGTGAGCACAGACTGTATATAACAAGGTGGTGAGTTTGCTGTGTCAGCAGGTGAAGCTGAAACCAAAGACCGGAAGAAAATTAGTGCGCCTTCGAAATAAAATCTGTGACCCTTACAAATTGCAAAGACGTCAATATAATTTATGTGAAACATGATGATAACGTGCACTACCTTTTGATTTTATTCTTTTTAAATAAAAGATCGAATACTTCTTGATTTTTATTATTTCATTCTTAAATTTAAATTGAATTTAATGCATTTTGTATATTTTATTTATTTTAACAAGTTTTTTTTTTATGTGAAGCACACTGAGTCTGTGTTGCTATTTAAATAAAGTTTCCTACATGAAAATCTATCTATCTATGCATCTTTAACATTCAAATTGCATTCCTACACATCTCATTAAAAGGAAAGGTACAATCATCTTTCTGAAAACCTCTTTCGCAAAGTAGATGGATGTCTTTCCCTCACAAAAGGTTTTCAATCTGTTTCCAGTTCTGTTTGTAGCAATTTGAGTGGCTGTTGATATTGTATACTGTTTACAATAATACAATAATAGACTAATTTGCAAAAAGATCTCTAATTAGAAACGTGTATATGAGCTGATAAATTTAAGACTGTCATAAAGAATATGGTGATTGAGGCATGTCGTTGTTTTTTTGTGAGGCTATTGTGTTTTCAAAGTTGTGCTTTTTGTTAGCATTTTATGTTTATTGTGACATTTGTGTTGCATTTTCATATGCTGTGTTCATGTACGGCTGCTACCTTGGCCAGGTCTCTCTTGTAAATATATATTTGATCTCAATGGGACTTCCTGGTAAAATAAAAATAAATAAATAATAAAAAAATTCTAAAAAAAAACTATGCTTTTATTTTCGTTCAACTCAACCGGATGTTGTATTCTCGTTCTCGCTAGCTTGACAGCCGGTGACCGGAGTCAGTGAGTCAGGAAACAAGCCGAACCGTGCCGCGCCGGGGTTAGACAGAGAGCTCGACCCGGTGTCTCCACACACACAGAGCCGTAGCCTTTATCTG